TTCAGAATTGGCCAGCATTATGTCGATATTTTGGTAATTCTGTTAACATTTCCGCATAATGCTGGTCAGTTTTAAACCCTACGTAGGTTTACGTGAGATTTATTTTCCTGATGATTTTTGATGGAACAGTCTGTCCGTTGACACGTTAAACCACTGTTGTCTTTGAAGTTGAAAGTCGGAATGATGAATTAGTCCCATGCTCATATTTTCTACAGAAATATCGGTTATGTATGAAAGTAGAAAACATTGAGTATATAGTATAAAATAATATTACTATGAAAAATTAGATCGAAGGAACAATTAGAAAAAAATAAAAGAAAAAGAAGTTGAAAAATCTCAAACAGAAAATAATTAAACCTACCAGGATTGTTAAACAGTTGGTCTATGAGGAGTAGACAAAGTCATAGATGAACAATTTGTCATGAAAAAATCAGCTAACAAAGCCAAGTAAGAAAAGCTATTTCCAAGCTGAATAAGAAGAAATAAGAACAGCAGTATCAATCAATATCCAAAAGACTGGTAAGGAATGAGTGAAGATAAAATGGTACAGGCACAAACCCTAGAAGATCATTTAGATTTATCAAACTTACCTTTGCAATAACGAAATAACCGGTCTAGACATAAGTAAGTGCAAAAACTACCAACCATAAATTGAACGGCAATAAAATTACTTGGTAAAAACACAAACTGAGAATCAGATAATTTGGTTAGATTTGAACAACTTATGAGATTTAATTCATAATGATTGTTCAGTTCCTTGCAACAATAAAATATCCAGAAAATTTGAAGTTTTAGATTAATACTAGATGTTCTTGAAAGATATAATTATTAACTCTATGTTGTAAAGATAGACAGAATAGCAAAAGCCATCTACAATCGTGTCAAAAGGCTTAGGGTGGCTATGCAGCGATATATTGCTTCAGTCATAACAAAGTTGATGCTCGGTGGAATAATATTAAGAAGCTCTTAAAGAACAAAAATTCGAATCTTTTTTAAGGAAGTTTGAACATCCTATTTTGGAAAAATTGATTCTCAGAATTATAATAATAATAATCATGCTCCAGTCGGAAAATACTTGAGAGAAAGAGAGAGAACAGGGAACCAAAAAAGAAGGATACTTGGAATACTTGCAGAAGATCGACAGAATAAAAGAAGACACCTCCATTACTCCTTCAGAGGAAACTTTATTTCGAACTGTCCAAACCAAAATTAGCAAAAATGCTTCCTGAGTTATATAAGAAGACCACATTGAATAAGTTAGATGGGAAAGAAATAATAATAAAAATTCGCTTATTTGATGAGATTTGCAGTTATCATTATGCTATCAGTTGAGTGACTGATTGGTAAAAGATTAAGCAATAGAACATACAGCCTGGTTCCTAAAAATAGATTCAAAGCAAAAACCTGAAACTAATATTAAAAGACAAAATGGAAGAAATACAACTAAACCAAAATTACGTACATTATTGAATTATCGTGGATTCCATCGTGTAATTGGTTATTGAGGAAGAATCTTTTGTTCCATATTTTAATATTAACAATATCCGAAGCAATATTTAAAATTTAAAGTAATGAATGAAATTAATTTTTATTTACGTAATAATAACAATAAACTGATTTCATGAATATGAATGTATTTATTCCGGAGAAACGGAGTTTTTACCATTTCACATTAAAATATTAATGTGTGATATCTACCAGTTTTACTAAAACTAGATTCTAATGTTTATTGCTATTATTATTATTAACATGAAACCAATCAATGTTTGATATGACGAATATAAAAATTACTTTATATAGTTAAAATTACCATTTTAATAGAAATAACAGAATCAAAGAATGTGATAAAAGAACTGAGAAGGAAGAATAAATAATTTAAAGTTTCAATTTGATTAATATGATGATAAAAGTTTAAATTTTGATAATCTGGCAAAAAAATCAATCGGAAAAAATTTTTAAAATTTGTTCTTTTGATCTTTATTTGGAATTAAATCTACTTTTTACTTATTTATAAATTATTATTATTATTACGATAACAATAATTTATGTATGATTTCTATTTTGACGCTTTTTATAATAATAATAATAATAATAATAATATTTATACTAAGGAATATTATAATAATAATAAGAAGGAATAATTTAAATAAAGTAACCTTTCTTACCAAATAATAATAATATGTAATACAGTAATAATAATAATAACAATTGATTACCACGTGGCTTTTTCTCTTTAATATTCTTGTGCAAAAAAAAACGTTTTTTATTTAGTTACAAAATTTATTTGGTGTAACATACATACATATTAATATGTTTAAATTAGAGTTGGTTTTTCAAAAAAATCAATCAACCAACCAAAGCTTTGATAAATTATATAATTCGTTAAATTTATTTTATTGTCCGCTCGCTCATGGACTGACTAATACGATATTATTATCATTAATATGGAAAAAATCATAGAAAATGGAGTTATTTGTTGTTTGTTGTAAATTTATTATTAATTTAATAAGTAAATAAATATATTAATAATAAATAAATAATAATAAATATTCTAATATCACACACATCACACACAATCAACAACCATCTAACAAATTATATACAATTATATACAATAATAATAATAAAAGAATTACCGATGATAAAAACAAATCATCATCACAAACCTAATGTTATATATCAAAATTTTTCAAATATATAAAAGGCCTAATAAAAATAACTTATTTTCCTAAAAAATTTACATTTTATTTTTTAATTAATAAAATTACAAATCTCTTGCGTGCTTTTTTAAACTCCACCCACACCCACACCCACCAACCCACCCCACTATTACTATCATTTTTTTTGTATTTTACTGACGCTTGCTTGCTTTCTACTCTCTAAGGAAATAAAAAATAGTAAATTGTTGCTAATTTACCAAATTTGTAAATTTAGATCAAGATTACGCTTTGTTATCACGCTGTTTTGATCTAAAAAAAAACAATTCTTGAAATCTAATTTAAATTTTCACGTTGTTGTTTAGTTTTCTTATTTTCCCTTAAGTAATTGTAATTATTATTTGCTATTTTTAAAGTTCCTCATTAAAGTTTTTTTTATTATTACATATATTTATACATATTATAAGTATATTTTAACGAAAATAAATACCTTTGATATATTAATAATCACCCCTATTTTTTACTTTATAATATAAATTAATTATATAAATATTATTATATATTCCTTTCTTTTCTTTCTTTCTTTCTTTCTTCCTTTTCCATCTTTTTTCCTCTTCCACACACAAACTTGCGAAATTTTTCTCTCTCTCTCTTTTTTTTCTCTGAAATTTTCCTACATTTATTATTATTATATCTCTAATTAATATATATATATATATATATATACATAATTTTTAACGATTTTTATGAAAAAAAAGCACGCAAAGGAAAATAAAATTTAATCTCCGATCAAAACTTTCTTTTTTTATTAATTAAAAAATAATTCCTTCAAAAAAAAAAAATAACACTTATAAATATTAATCATTTCCCATCCACCCACTTGCTCGCTCGCTCACTCACTCGTTCATTCTTCTCCCAAAGAAATCAAAATCAAACAAATCAAACAAATCAAACAAATAATTTAAAAAATAAAAAAATGCATACTACAACTACAACCAACTCTTTCACAGCCTCACCTTTCACGACTTCTTATTTTTTTAATGATCAACAACAACAACAATTTCCTTCTGCTAACAATGCCATCAACAGAAACACCATCAACAGAAACCATCATAATACAATGACTAATTCCTCTTCTTTGGCTTCTTCTTTGAGTAATGATTTTACTTTTGCAAACATCTATCAACCTTCTTCACCTTTCATTCAATCAAGTTATCATCACTTTTCTACTTATCCTCCTTCTGCTTCTTATGGCTACAATAATAATAATGTCAACAAGGTTTATACAACCGAAAAATATCCGTCCTCTTTCTTACCACCTGAAACTGGCTCTTCTGCTTCATCTTCAATACTCTCAACTTCGCCATCGTCGATTTCTTCTTCCTCATCCAATAGCGCTGAAACTCAATTTTCACCTTCTATTAAATCCGGCAACGGTAATAATTGTATTGGTAGTAAAAGATTGTCAATGTTGTTTATGGAAACTGATCAATTAACGACATTGGATGAAGAAGAAAATCAAGACATCGATGATGATTATTATAATATTACCACTAGTAACAATAATAATTACAATAATAATAACAATAAAACTACCGATTACTTTAATTTCCTTCAACAACAACAACAACAACAAGCCAATAATAATAATGCAAGAGTATTGAAGACTAAAGGATCTAGAGCTTCACTTCGTAGCAATCGCAGTTCTCTCTATTTGGATCCTATTATGGAAGAAGGGGCTAATAATTTCTTTTAATGATTGCCAAGATTTGGGTAAATGATAAATAATCGGTGCAGTAATCATTTGGTAGCAAATTAATTAAGGATGGATGTGATGGAATAATGTGATGGAATGTGTAAATAATAACAACAACTAATATTATTTTTTTTTTTTTGCATATTGTTGTTTTTTTTTTGTATATTTTAATTTTCTCATTTTTTTTATTTTTCTCATTTTTCATATTTTGTTTTATTCATTTTTTCATTTATTATTATTTTTGTATATAATCTTTTTTCTCTCATTTTTTTTTTTTTTTAGCAATTATTATTTTTTTTTAACCAATAATTTCAGCTAATAATTTCCAATAATTTCGGGTGATTATTTTATTAATTTTTACCAAGCTCTCAAGTATTCTTTCAATCATATATATATATGTTAATGGTAATTCAAAAAAAAATTAAGTTCTTTAATTTCCATTAATAATAATAATTAATTATTAATTAAATAATTAAATAAATAAATATAAATATTATTTTATAATAAAAATACAATTTATCCTTTAATGATTAACGTAATTAATATGTATATATTCTTCCTCAACTAATTAAAATCAATCAATTAATTTATACATTTAAATCAGTAGTAACTTCCCTTTCCTCAACTTTTGTTTCATCAAAATTCCGGCCCCCATTATCATCGTTACCTTTGACATCAGTGTGATCCCTACCGATAGAAAGAAAAGCAGGAGGACTGTAACTAGGCCTTGATTCTGGATTGTAATGGTATAAACACAATCCTATGATTGTGCTAACAAATGATATAGGGTAAAGATGATGCATCTACAAATTATAATAATCAATTAGTGGAAGGAACTATCAAAAACCAAATTCTAGTTATTATTATTTATTTACCTGGGCACCGAATAATAATAAACTAAATATTAATGAATAGAAATCACTTGTTTGTAAAGAAAGATTAAAGAATGTAGCTGATGATAATTTGAAGAGTATTGGTGCTCCAGTATAAAAACACACCATTGAAATAGTGTATGTAAGTAGCATTCCAACTAAACATATGAAGTGAGGTGGTGTGATGTGGTGTGATGTGGTGTGGTTTGAGAAAAAATTATCAAATTTTTGAAATTATTTAAATTGATTTGATTGTTTATTTGATTACTTACCACTACCTCCACTCCATTCTACAGCAGAAAGTTCTTGACGCTCTAAAATTGAACTAAAAAAAACCACTTGAATTTTTAATATATATATATATATATATATATATATATTAATTTCAAATAAAAATTTGCAACTTACAGTTGAATACCACTGATAATCATTGCCCAAAATGCTAATTGTCCAACCACCTCATACACTGATCTTTGTCTCACAAATAATTCTTCTAGTACATTACTCGCACCATAAAGTGTTGCACTTATGATACAAAATGCATCACCAAGTCCCATATTCACGGCTATTAAATAGATAAATGGGGTTTTTTTTTGTTTATAAAGGAAAAAAGTTCTACAAATTATAAACCAAAAAATTTGCAGTTTTTTTTTTAATCTATATATATATATAACTTACCACCACTAAAATCTCGTCCTGATTCAAGATCTCCTGCAAGCAATACTCCAATACCAACAAGACATATCACCACTCCAAGGTATTGACTCCAAAATTAGTAGCATGTGCAGATATACTTCAGCACCTGGAAAATCAGCCAACCTGGTGATGTGGAGTCTCAATTTCACAATATTTAAAACTTCTGTTCTCTCGGACTTGGTAATATTGCCGCTGCTGTTATTTTACTCTAAAAAAAGTATAGTTAATTTTTTTTAAAAAATATACCTTTTGCACAAATAAATCTAATAAATCTACAATTATAATAATATAATTGTATGCGTGAGAAGTGATGTTTTTTATTTTTTTTATAAAGGATTTTTTGAGACTAACATAACAATAATAAGTTGTCTAAGGTGATCGACGAAATCCTAATTAATTAATCATAGAATCAAAATTCAAAGCCCTTGAAACCATCCGATGATGAATTACACCGATTATGCTTCTTTTTATAAAGTATGAAAATTTTTAATATAAAAAAAAGTTTAAATAAATATTTATTATTATTTATATAACGAACTTTTTTTTTATTTTCCCATCCTTTACTTTTTTTCTCTCACATTTCAAAAAAAAAAAAAAAAAAAATGGTATCCTCAGATAATGCTATTATTTTAAGACCGACAGGCGACCGTATGCCACTTGTTGGTTTCGGTTCATGGGAATTACCTAATGACAAAGTTGCCGATAGTATTTATCAAGCTTTAAAAAATGATTATCGATTATTGGTAAATGTTTATATTTGAAATTGTTTGTTTGTTTTATTTGTAATCTATTTAACGATTTGTGATTTTTTTTTTTTTTTTTGACGGATGGATGTAGGATTGTGCGGCCCTTTATGGCAATGAGAAAGAAATAGGCGATGGGATTAAGAAAGCGATCGATTATGGAATTGTTAAACGTGATGATATTTTCATCACATCCAAGGTAATAAAAATAAACAAATAAACATATTTATTGTGATGAATTGTGATGAGCGAAGCCTTTTTTAAACTACTAGTTCGCAAATAGTTATGGAACACTTTTCATAAAAAAGAACATGTTAGACCAGCTCTTGAGAGAACCCTTAATGATCTTAAAGTAAAATATTTAGATCTTTACTTGATCCATTTCCCTATCTCTTTGAAACATGTTGATCCAAAAGAACGTTATCCTGCTGATTGGTATTACGATACCAAGAATAAGACTTGCATTCAAGAAAATGTCACCATTAGAGAAACATGGGAAGCCATGGAAGAATTGGTTGATTCTGGATTGGTTAGGGTGAGTGTATATATATATATATACATACATATACATATACACAAGTATTTTGTATGTGTACGTACATGACTCATTCACTTTCATCATATATTTACAGAACATTGGAATTTCTAATTTTAATGCAGCGTTGATAATGGACTTGTTGAAATATGCACGTGTCAAACCAGCAGTTCTACAAATAGAACATCATCCATACTTGACACAAGAACAATTGGTAGATTATGCAAAATCTCAAGGTTTGGCAGTGAATGCCTACTCATCTATACGTTCAAGTAGTTATGGACCGAAAAAAGACGAGAACTCTCCTCAATTGTTAAAAGAACCTATATTGGAACAGATTGCAAAGAAATATAACAGATCTACTGCTCAGGTTTGTCTTTTTTTTCATATTAATATATATTGGGAATGAATGGTGATAATTTCAGTATTAATAATAATAATAATATATTTATGCAATCCTCGTTGTTGTAATGATAGGTGGCACTTCGTTGGGCAGTTCAACGTAATATCGTGGTTATACCAAAGTCAACTAATCCAAGTAGACTTGTTGAAAATCATAAAGTCATAGAATTTACTTTGACCGACGAGGAAGTTAAAGCAATCTCTTCATTGGACAGAAAATTAAGATTCAATGATCCCGGTACAACATTTGGAATTCCTATTTTCGCTTGAATAATTTACTTTTTTGAGAGGCGAATTCCTAATTTGTTTAATAATATGATAATTTTAAAATAAAAAAGTTCCGTAAATACATGTATAAATTTAATAATATAATAAATAATAATGTTAAAAATAAAATTTAAAAGCGTTTTGTCCGAGTTGTGAAGGCGATGTGGATCAAAATTTCTCTATTAATTAATAATCAACTACACTATTATAGTTAATAATAATGGTACAGCACATTTACTGATATCAATATTGCTTTCAAATGTTCGTGATTTCATTGTTGTTGACTCAGAAATTGCTGAAAATAGTTTTACAAAAAGCAGATATTAAAAAAAATTTCTTATTTGCATTCTTATTTTTTTTTTTTTTTAGAATAAAAATTTTTATTGAAATGCAATCTTCTTCAGTTGACTGTGACCCACCATCACAACCAACTTCTTCGAATGTTCAAAAACTCACAAGTTAGTGTTAGTTACCCTTAAAAACTAATGGTGCTCAAGTTTACGGTGACGCTACTATGTCAGATAATTTACTGGAAAATTTAATGAAGGATAGGAAAGGACCTAAACCTTTTAAAATAGGCATTATAATTATTTTTTTGTTGAATGAATTAATTGAATCATCTAGTTTTGAATCAAACGTACATTGTGTTTTAAAAATAACCAAGTTTAGATAGAAAATTTCTCGTTTAGGAGGTTTTTTTGTTTAAACTAAAATGTATTTTAATTTTATATCAAGTATTACCTTTTAATGAAACCCAAAACAAAAAGGTTACTTTGGATGCTTGTTGATTGAACAGGTTTACTATGATGATAGTCATCTACTTATTCCCGCACGACCTGACCGTGTGAATTTGATAATAATAATAAATTTTGGGATGGGTTGCTTACAAAATTTCTGATTGGTTGAATTGAATTTCACGGATAAATAAAATATTCTGTTTAACCGTTGGGAATTATTATTATTATTATGCACAGCCTCAATAAAATCCGTGTTCCCTGTTCCTTGTTGTACAATACTTGTAGGTAACGGAAATCTATTTCAAGAAGTGACTGGTTCAGATGAATTCGATGAAGACAAATTGTTCTTTGGACTGGATAAATATTTTGTTGTGGTTGATTGCCATTATTAGTAGAAGTTGCTTTTTGAACTGGATAAATACTTTGTTGTTAATATTATTAGTAGAAGAAGCTATCCTTTGAACTGGACAAATACTTTGCCGTCGTTGTTGTTTGTCATTATTAGTAGAAGAGGCTGTCCTTTGAATTTGAACTGGACAAATACTTTGCCGTCGTTGTTGTTTGTCATTATTAGTAGAAGCTATTTTTTGAATCGGATGGAACACTTTGTCAATTCCCCAAACTCTCGATTTTTAACTGCGTCAAAAAACCACCATCTGATTGAGTCGAGTACTTTTTTTTGATAAAAAAAATTAAAAAAAAAATTATTTCCAAAAAAAATAATAAAAATGAGAAAAAAATTGTTTCCAAATCTGAAAATGAATGAAAGAAAAACAAAAAATATATATATTTGGTTTCTCTCTGATAGTTAAAAATCCTTTTATGGATAGATCGACATTACACACTTTTAATATATAGTATTGTGAAACCACATAGAAATGTGACGCTGTACAGACTATATAACACCACCTCAAAAATTTGCACAAATGTACTGCAATTTTTGTTCTTTCCTGAGCGGAATTGGATGTTGATTTTATTAATAACAAAGTTGCTCTAAATTTGTCATCACATCCAAATTTTTGATGATCTACATTTTAAACTTAACGCGTAACATAAATATATTGCAACAGTAAATAAATAAATAACATTTCTATCATTTATCATTAAGGTGTAAGCCGAAAAAATTTTGGTCCTTGTATAATAAATATGTGTTAATCAAGATATATATTATATAAACACTATATGGGGCCTTTTCTAGCAAAAACGGTCTTCCATAAAAATAGATTTTTTTTGGGTAAATCACAAATTAAAATTGTTACACGAAAAAGGAAAATTGCCCCCTAAAATTTGATACTATTTTTAAACTCGGTGATTGTCAAAGTTATAATACCGGCCAAGATTATTTTATTATAAAATAAATTTTTATAAATAATGTAGTGATTTTGTTTTGAAAGTAAAAAGCTTTTAATAAGTTTTATAAGTCAAATATCATTTTTATAATCAATATTATATTTAATTATCAAAAATTGCTTCAAAATATTATTAAAAACATGTCTTTAATTAATTCAATACCAGAATATAATTTATTAGAATTTGAAGAATTTGAAGATTATGAAAAAAATGATTTAGTAATTGGTGTAATTGATGATTTAAAATTATTTTTCCAAAGTTCTTATTGCAAATGTGTGAAAAAAACAAATGATCCACATAGTTGCTTTGAAAAAATAGGCTTTAAAAACTTTTTTGAGAGACATTTTGAATTTAAAAGCTTAGATAAAAAAGAAAAAGAACTTCCTATTAAAACACAATTGATGGTTTTTCAATTTGACAATGAAAATATTAGACATAACTATAGATATAAATATAATGAAAAAATACAAATTTGTAAACCTGTGTTTTTAAAACTGTGTGATATTAAAAAAGGTGTGTTAACTGATTTGCAAAAACATTTATTAACAAATGGTTTAGAAGATCATCAACATGGTAATATGAAAAATATTCCTAAACTTAAATCACAAGCATTTGTTGATTTAGAAGTAGTGGAAAGGGTGAAAAATTATATATTAAATTATGCTGAATTACATGGATTGCCTCTCCAATGAGACTTCATGATAATTCAGACCCAATTATTTATCTAGAAACTCAGCATAATTATAGATCAGTTTTTAAGAGTACAAAAAATGTTTTGAGGATAATTTTGCTGGTACATCTATGCAAGATATACAGTATATAACTTTTTGGAGACTTTGGAATCAATTAACACCAAATATTAAATTTTTAAATGCTTCAAATGATCTGTGTGAGGCTTGTGAAATTTTTAGATTAAAATTGGTAACATCAAGTAATGATGCAAATGTTGAAATAAAATTTGATTATGAAGAACATCTTACAGCAGCAGATCATGAAAGACAACATTATAATAAAACTATTGAAAAATGCAAAAATGATTCAACATCAACTCACATTTGCTATGATTATGCTCAAAGTGTTTCTGCACCATATTCACCTCAACAAGTTGGTTCAATTTATTTTAAAACTCCTTTTAAAATAAATATTTTTGGTATATGTAAATAATTTTTTGGAGAAAATCTCTTCATTACATTAAAAGTAGAAACCTATTTTACCAACTAATGAGGCTATTTTTTTAAAAGGTAGGACAGAAAATGACTTCTATACTTTTAAAATTTGCCCAAAATTTAGGAGGTCTTTAGACCAAGCCAACTATAATAAAACACATATGGGTCTTCCATAAAAATAGATTTTTTTTAGGTAAATCGCAAATTAAAATTGTTACACGAAAAAGGAAAATTGCCCCCTAAAATTTGATACTATTTTTAAACCCGGTGATTGTCAAAGTTATAATACCGGCCAAGATTATTTTATTATAAAATAAATTTTTATAAATAATGTAGTGATTTTGTTTTGAAAGTAAAAAGTTTTTAATAAGTTTTATAAGTCAAATAACATCAATATTCTATTTAATTATCAAAAATTGCTGGTACATCTATGCAAGATATACAGTATATAACTTTTTGGAGACTTTGGAATCAATTAACACCAAATATTAAATTTTTAAATGCTTCAAATGATCTGTGTGAGGCTTGTGAAATTTTTAGATTAAAATTGGTAACATCAAGTAATGATGCAAATGTTGAAATAAAATTTGATTATGAAGAACATCTTACAGCAGCAGATCATGAAAGACAACATTATAATAAAACTATTGAAAAATGCAAAAATGATTCAACATCAACTCACATTTGCTATGATTATGCTCAAAGTGTTTCTGCACCATATTCACCTCAACAAGTTGGTTCAATTTATTTTAAAACTCCTTTTAAAATAAATATTTTTGGTATATGTACTAAAAATAATGAGGGTGAAGATTATCAACTAAACTATACTATAGGAGAAGATGAATTGCCAGAAGGAACATCAAAAGGAGCTAATACAACTTTAAATATGGGTTTTGATTTTCTCCAAAAGATTCATCATAATGGTGAAAAAAATTTATATGTGATATGTGATAATTGTTCAGGTCAAAATAAGAATAACCTATCACTCTGGTTTTGGTCGTGGTTAATAATGTTGGGTTGGTATGAAAATATATATATAAATTTTATGATTCCTGGGCACACTAAATTTGTCTGTGATGGATTTTTTGGATCAATCAAAAAAGTTTATAGAAATAGATGCATTAATACTGTTGATCATGTTGAAGAAGCTATAAATGATTCAACAACAAAACATAATAATGAATCTATTAGATATAAAGGTGGCATGGGTTGGAGATGGCATGACTTTAGTTCACTATTTAAAAATAGTTTTAGAAATTTACCAAATATAACAAAATACCATCATTTTCATTTTAGTAAAGATAATATTGGAAAAGTTTATGTTGCCAAAAATTCTGGTGGCCTGGAAACTCCTTTTGAACTTCTAAAGAATGATAATTTTAATAAAGATGGTCAATTAAATATTTTTGAGGCTGTTCCATTAACAGAAGAAAGAAAAATATATTTGTATACAAAAATTCGCCAGCATGTACAAGACCCATTTAAAGATATTCTTTGTCCGGAACCTAGTACTTATTAAATTTAATTTGTTATTCATTTATTATTATTTCAATATGTATTTTTATAACATTCATTAATTTATTTTATAATAAATAAACGTACATTTTATTTTTTAATTAAATTATTGCGTGTAACAATAAAAAATGGGGTATGTAGATCGCGTGAAAATTACTTTAAAAAGGTATCCGGCCTAGAATTCTCCATTTTTTTTATTAAGCAAACAGGGTCTAATATTTTTGCCAATTATAATCTTTATGTTATAGATCAATATTATGTAAAAAAATTTTTTTTGGTCATATGAGGTCAAAACCCTTTTTTGCTAGAAAAGCATCCATATATCTCAATAATCTCCAACCGATTTTTAAAAAATTAAACCAACCCTTATTAATAGTAAAATTTAATTTCATTAGGTTCAATCATTCCTCATTTACATTATGAAAGCAGATTAGAGAAGAAACCCTATATATGTTAAATAAATATTTTTCTTATATCCTCCCTTGCATTGTTGAACAATGTACTATCCAATATTAATTGAAATATACAAAACGAAAAATGCCATATAATGATGCCTGGGAATGAAGATGAAATCAGTTAAAAAAATGAATTAGACACAGTTCACACTTTATATATAATTGATGTAATAATGATGGAAAGCCCAATTTACATGTTTATATATAAATTATTATTGTCTATAACAGGTTCTCTCTACAGTCCACTCTTTATAATGTACTGAAAATTTAAGCCCAATTTATTGTCTATGGACATTTTTTCCTAAACCAAATGGTCCATTATAGAGAAAAAATTTAATATAATAAATATTTTCTAGATGTTAAATTAAAAATTTTTAATTTTAAAATGAATTACTTTGAACTGGGTTGGGCTCTCCATGGAAAATTTTTTTGGAAAACATAGTAGAAGTGGATGCATGTCTGAACAAGTAAAACAACTTCTAAGAGCCTATTTTTTGTCAGAAATGTAGATAAGAAATGTTTACAGATCTAAAACAAAGAGTAGAAGAAGGTAAGTTGGATGCAAATGAGTAACACATTTTAGTAGAGAACATAAAAAAGAATCAGCTGAGAAAGAATTGGACAA